TAGCCATTAACCACCTGGGGCTGTTTAAAGATAATAATTAGAGTTAAATGAAGTTAAGAATTCAGTTCCACTGTTACATTAGCCACAAATCAAGTGCTCAATAGACACATGTGGCTAGTAGCTACTGAGTTGGACAGTGCAGATATAGAACATCTCTGTCATCGCAGGAAGTTCTATTTGACAGCACTGTTTTAGGAGGTAGGGACCAGATCTGTATTATTGCAAAACCTGCCTGGCACATGTGTGACCAGGTGGATGCACCAGAGTATGTCTTCCTGGCTTGAGCTTTACCTAGGGCTGCCAAGACTAACATGCAAAATCTTTGTGAATCGATGACATTACCGGGTTACACTCCCCATTGGCTCCATGGAGGCCAGTCAGGGAGCTCTTGGCATCAGAGCAGAGGGGGGCTTATTCCTGGAGGAATCTTCCCAGTGGTCTCATCTCTGTATGCTGAGGCTTCTGTCATCCCTTGACTTCTGACTGAGGGTCCTGGCTGCGTATTAAATGACAGAAAGTTTTTCTGCATGTTGCAACCCAGCAACAAAAAAGTTGATAACTCTGGAAGGCTGTAATGGCTTTAGGACTGGACCAGGTGTATTGGAGACTACAGAAGTTCAGTCTTCTGTCTGTGCCCTCGAAAAGCATCTGCCCTCAATGGCCTTTGTCGCCCCTGGGACACAGCACTGGAATCTGTATCACCTAGGGAGGTACCTCCCCTCACCTTCTGCAAAGATGCTGTGTGAGGTGGGGAAGGGTCTGTGATACAGGACTTAAGTTCTGAGCTCTAGGCCCAGTGGCATCAGAGCTCATGGGCTAGTGTCTTGGGACATATGAGCACTATACCTTTCTAAATGCAAACATTCTAGAGCTTTGTTGTTCTCCTTTCTGCTATTTTATGGATATCGGTCTTCCTGGCTGGGTTGTAAACCTCGAGGGCAGGGGTCACTGCCCCTCTGAGAGCTCTTAGCACTGGGCTGGCCATGTGATAGATGCAGATTGATAATCAATAAGGGTGATTTGGGGGTCTGATTTTATCTTCTTTCCTGTGTATATAGTGAGCGACAGGTGATATCTTTCCCAGTGATCCATGTGCTATAATTGAGTATCTTGGGTACCTCTTTATCCCAAATTAGTTTTTTTCTGTTCTTGATTTCAGAATATATTCATCATGTTGTCTTCATCACTGTGGGAAGAAACAAATTGATTTGTTAACTTCTGAAATTTTCAAGTGAAAAAGGAATTTCTTTCCAGGACCGGTTGATGAGTTTTAGTGACAGTGTTCCACTGCACACCTCCAGGGGGTGCCACTCACAGTTTTTTCTATGTGAAGAGCACCCCCTTGAGTTGTGCAACACAACACAACCCTGAGTGCTAGATTTGCTAAATTCCCCCTATGTCTTTTACAATACCATTGTTTTTATTCTTTGGTCTGCCGTTTTCACCTGTGGTAAAACCTGAAGGCATGACAGCATAGGTTAGGTGACTCTTCAAGGTCTCTGGGCTTTGAAATTCTAGAACATTCTGTTCACATATTGCTTGTAAGACACTACGAGTTTCCCACTAGGAAAAATAAATTGGTACTAAAGACTCTTAAGCTTCTTCCCCCTCCTTCCTTAGCAGAGAGCAGTAGAGCTTCAATGCCAAATGACTCATGCTAAGGTAGCTCAGTCCTTTGTCTCATCCCCACTGGCTGGGACTGGTAGGAAGCAGTATGAAGGGTCTGGCTTAATGGACCTTGAGAAATCCCCCTGCCTTAAATTTCTTCCATTGGCCAGTCCCTAACACTCGAAACGAACTAGAAGACATTATTTTTTTATATCAAGTAATGCTTCCTGTAAAGAATTAAGGATAGGTTTAAAACAAATGTATTAGTGTTAGAAATCAGAGTAAGGTTACCCTTGGGGATGATATTGACTGGGAAGAGAAACAGGAAGTTTCCTGGCTGCTGGGAATGTTCTGTTTCTGCCTTTAGGTGTGCCCTCTATGAAAGATTTATGGGTCTTTACAATTATAACTTGCATATCTTTCTGTATGTTTATAATGCTTCAAAATACAGCTTATTTAAAACAATTCTTAGAAGAGAGCCTCAGGAAGCATTCACAGATATTTATAACTTAGTTAAAACAAGGAGGTGAGTTAATTTCCAAAGAACAGTTAGCAGTGTGCTGGGATACTGGATACTGACAGGAGGGAGAGGAGATGACGGAGGTAAAAGGGCAAACTTGTCCGCTTTGAGCTTCTGCCTGGGGTGCATCCTGCTCTGGTCCTTCCGGGAACCTGTTCAAGCCCCCAGTGAATTGGATACCTTGTCCTCAAGTCCATTCTCATTCTCCTTCAAAGATATCGAGAAGACTGGAATGAAGAGCGCCTTCTTTCGTCCAGATCCAGAGCTGGCAGTGAAAGAAGGCGGTTCTGTTGGGCAGTTAGCTTCAGGGAGAGAGTGGAGTCAGTCCTTCCTTCCGGTGGAAAGAAAACCAGTGTATGCTCTAACCAGAGCATGACCTGGCTCTGGTTAGATGAGAAGAGACCAGTGACCCATGGCCATTTGGGTACCAGGTGTACAAAGCTCTGTGTTCGTATGTTGGGGAAGTGGGGAGGTGCACAGCTCAGCTGGGAAATCTTCCCACCTCACTCTCCCTGAACCAGCGATGTCCCTTCATCCCCTATCCTGTCCCTTCCCTTCTCTGTGACACACATGGGGTCCTGGGGCCAACAGCCCCACTTGAATATGAGCAGATGTTCTGTTTCTGCTCCAGCTGGCGGGTCACCCAGCTCTCCTAAGTCTCCATCCAGCTTCTGAGAAATATTTAGGCTGTACAGGTCATTTCCAGGTACACACTGGCAAAGCTGGCCTTGTGCAGGAACGGAAATGGAAGGAAGCCTTTAAGAAAATGCTTGTTTGGCTTTCAGGCACGCTCATTCATATTGCCCATAAAATAGTTATTATGTTCTCAACTGGCGCCCCATCTGTTTCTTCTGCACCACTTGGGTCCAAAATTTGAGGCTGGAGAAATACCAATATATCCTTCTTGTTGATGTTATTTTTTTTCTTCAAGGACTTTAGTATTAGTTTGATGGCAGTTGCACAAAGGGACCCCACACCAGCCATGCCCGAGGAGTCCTTGCCTTCTATTTTGTTTCCATGGAACAAATGAGCTTCATTAGCAATAGGCCCACCATCTCTTTGTGTTCCTGGTCTTTGTCTCAGAGTAGAAATAGAACCCAATCTCAGTCCTGCATAAGTCTGTTTCCAGCTAGTTTATTGTAGTCTGGACCTTGTCAGTGCTTCCTGTCCCAGAGGTTTTTCCTCAAAGAAAGAGGCTGAGGAAAAAAAAAATGTCATGTCTCCTAAGAAATGCCAGCAAATTTGAAGTCCGATATAACCGCTTCTGGAGTTGGTAGTTAAAATAATACCACCCTGCATTTGTAAAGCAGTTCGCATGGCACTTTGATAAGCTTCAGCTCATTTGTTTCTCCTAACAGCCCTATGAGGTAGGCATTATCCACATTTTACAGGTTGGGTGACCCATTCAAGGTCACACAGCTATTCCTATGACTTTCAGTAAAGTGTTCCTTTTGTTCTTTTCTCTCTGTTATCAGAGATACTTTAAGGTCAGTAATCAAAGTAGGGAGCCAATTGTGAGGTTTATGTTTAGATCTGGTTGTATTACTGGTACAGTGCAGCAAACGTTTTGGAAAGACCCCCAAGTCAAAGCCTGTTCAACAGAGAGCATCTCCCTTCACAGAGCCCCTGTTCCTCCTGACCCCGCTCACCCCATCTTCGGACTCATCTGTGTAGCAGAGTATCCCCAGCTTGCTGACATGTGGTGAGGGACCTTGAACTTTGGGACCCGTTCATATTTTTCCTAACCTCAAACTTTCCAGGTTTATTTTTGCAAACTTAATATTCATTGAACTGCTATATTGACTCTGGAGACCCTAAGGCAATGAAAAGACATAAAATCTGAGATCTGGTAAGAGTCTAATAACAGGTAAGACTGTGGGCCATGCCCTTTTCTAGGAGCTTCACATGTATTAACTCGTTTAATCTTCACAGCATCCCTTGGTTATCCCCATTTTTCAATTGATAAGGGTTAACCTGAGCAAGACATTTGTTGCAAATCACAGAGCTAAAAAGTGGAGGAGCTGGGATGTGAACCCGGGTTAATTCCAGAGTCTGAGCTCTTGGTCACCTCAAGGTGAAACTGCAAGGAGGGTATCGAGGGCAAGCCCTCTTTTTCATCAATATAGAATTCACATCCTGAGAGCTAAGTCCATCCTAGGAGATCATCGGCAAAGCAATTTCTGAACATCTTAAATGGGCACTAGGAAATTTTCCCAAAGAGAAAACAGAGTTGTCGGCTTTACCGCTTCTAGACCTGACCTCCAAAAAGAGTTACTCATCGCCCAGCATTCTCCAACTTATGGCTGATTCCCGTATCTGTGAAATGAGAGTGCCCTCTTTAGACTCTTGGAAACTCAGGCTCAGATCAGGAAATCAGTATTATATTTCTGTGTTTCCTTGAGAGCAGAATGGCATTACATACTTCACGTCAAACGGCTGCTCACTTACAGGTAAATGTTCCCAAAAGTTGTCAGTGAAATATGGATTATAAGTACCAGTTCCATAACAGGGCAACCGGGAAGCACTAATTTAAGATTCATAGATATCCAGCAATGAGTTATACGGGTGGAGGGAACCCAGGAACCTGAAAAATTGTATGCTACCTTTGGATGTGTGTGGTATATATACACTTTTTTCATTAGCGTCTCAAAGGGATCATGAACCCCAAACATTTAATAACTGTGACTATAAAGACATTTCACTAAATTACTTATGTGTAGCTCTTCTGTGAGATCAAATGGCAGACGATGAAAGCACCGGTCTTATGAGTTTCAGGGCTCATCATAATCTATATAATTTTCACTTTACTAATTTTCTTTGCCTCGGTAAAGAATTGATTCGAATAAAACCTTTGTACTGCATGTATTTACAGACTGGATTTTTCCATCTGCCACATGGAGACTTTTTCATTGAGCCTGTCAAAAATCATCTGCTGGCTGAGGGAGTATACCACCCACATGTCATGTACAGGAGGCAGAGGCCGGGCGTCCCAGAGATGAAGGAGCCAACCTGCGGATTAAAGGGTACTGTGACTTAGTCTCCTTCCTGGATGGAGGAGTTTGCTCTGTTCTATTATTGTTTTTCTTTACAATGAGACCTGCTCTTTTCAAATCTGTTATCTCTTCCCCGTTCTGTGGCCAGAAAATATGCACCCTTGCACCCTTCACTTCTCTGTACTCAAGTCTCTGTATTCTTAACGGGAAAGGAAAAAGGTATCTCTTACATCCTTGCCACACTAGTTGATGATATTTATATGGTAATCATAATGGTAAATTTTTTTTTTTAAGCTTCTTCTGAATCCCTTGGAGGAAAATAGTTTAAATTACAGACGATGCTTCGCAGTATCCGCAATGTTATAATACATTAGCAGGGAATATTACTAGACAGCTTGTCGTATCTGCATATGGAAAGCAGATTTAAATATTTGATGATGCTGATAATGATGTGTGAAGAGAAACTGAGAAAATACCAACACGTTATCAAATGATGGATTCAGCTAAGGTTCTTTTGGCTGCGTTTTGTTTGTAGTCCACTACAAAGTATGTTATCTGCCCCCGTGCCTTGGGAATGACCTGAACTGCTCCTCTCTGTCTTGTACTAAAGAGTTTCAGGTAGTTTTCAGAGCTAAACTGACCCAAGTTATTTCCTTGTGACGCCCATATTCTCTGTAATATGCATAAAGTAATGCATAAAGAGCCACTGGAAATTGGGACTTTTAAAAAATATTATTTAGTTTCTCCTTTCTTCAGAGGAAAATAAATAGTGGACTAGGGAGACAGTTACCAAAAGGAATCCATAATATTATTTATGTGTCTTAAGGATTTAGAAACCATGGACCTCAAAGGGAAAATAGATGAGGAAGGAATTAGGGATAGTAGATTCTGATAAGGGTTTCAGAGGACTCAGAACTTGAGCTTTGCCAAGTAGGAGAAATAAAGGACAAGGGGAGGAGTAATTTCTCTGCAGACATCATCCAGACCCTAAGATAGATGGTAACTTTCCCGGGAGTTTCTTCTGTAATCTTAACAGAGTATATGTAAGCAATAAGAAATTTTTGAGTCTATATTTTCTGTATACAAAAATGGACAGCTGCTTAAATTCCTTAACTTTAATAAGCTATTGGAACTCTGACCTAAATTAGATAACTTACTATCTAAATCTCCTTCCAGAAAGCACCAAGAGAAGAGATGCATCATCTGGTCGGTCTGATTGATTGAGGTACCATTCCAGATAATTTAGTTTCAGTGTGAATTTTTAGGACTCTGTCACCGATCCTAGCATCTGGAAGGATTGGAATAGTTGGAATAATTGCCCAACTCCTATTAATTGCCTAATTCCTATTGATAATTGCCCAATTCTTATTAACCTTGGGTGATGGATGACACTTTGTATGTGTGACTTGATAGTTTTTAGATCACTAGGTAATTAATATGGTGGAGGGAGTTACTAGGACAGTGAGCGAATTTGGCTGGGTAATTGCTCCTGTAGGCACGGCTGCTCTGTGAAATGAGTTAGACTATTCCTCATCCACCCACTTGAACCCATTCTCTCCTTTATAACTCCCCTGTTGACGTAGAGTTGAGTAATAATGTGTTGAGAATGGCATGCATTTAGTCATAAAGGTAGAAGAGATGAATAGGAAAAGAATGAGGTTGACAAATGTGATGCCCCCAGTAGGTCACACACAATACCACAGTTGTAGTGCTTGCAGTACCATTTCATCATTGTGCTTCTAGGCCAACCTTAAGACCTACCACTATTCTGAAACCTTCTCTGATTAATCCCACCTTGGAACAATCTTTGCATTGTGAATTTCTCCACACACATCTTCTGAAAGATACTCTCTTATACTTCTTTAAAACCCAGAATGTCAGAAGTGAACAGCTTTGTCAGAAGGACCTTAGAGAGTGCCTAATGAAGCCTCTTTCTCTCACCAAAGAAGCGACTGTGGCTCAGAGGAGGGAGTGAATTTTCAAAAGCATCGAGGCAGTTGGTGTTCAGAATATAACCAAGCTCCTAAGTCAAGGTTCTATTATACCTTGGGCTTTATACTCTGTCATGTTTATTCTTTAAGTCTTCCCTGAATATAAGTCTTGTTTTATCAACTATCTGGAAAGCCCCATTAGAGTAGGAACTCCCTTCCCAAACAGTATATAACATAGTGTTAGGTGCAAAGTGGAAAATCAGTAAGTCATTGAAATGAAATGAAGAGTGACTTGTAGCCACATAGATGAATCTAGAGTGCGCTGACATCCAGTCCACATAACATAACAGAAAAAAAGAAATGTGTGATTTCTAGATGTTAAGGAAGTGTCAGTTCTTTGTGACGATCTCCCTCCCTAAGACAATAATCGTGGCTCAATACTAAAATGACAGCTAGAGATTGCAGAGTAAGCTAATGGGCTTGTGATTATTCTTAAAGTATACTTGACATTTGGAATTTAAAAATCTTGGTATACTGAAATGTGCTTGGTCTCCCCGAAACAGGTAATTACAGTGTTCTTGTACCCTGTTACCCTGCAGAGGGGATGAAATTCACCAACACTAGGCATGTCATTAGCCCACGTTAAGGTACACCTCGTGCTTAGGGAAGTCAGTGCTGCCAGATTGAATTACTGTGATCGTATCAAGAAAGGCCACCTTTCCTTGTGTAAAACATTCCTTCTTAGTAATGTTCCAAACAGGAACACCCTTGGTATTGAAAAGAACTTCAGGAGAGAAAGTATATCAATTACTTTCCCCTAAAATGTGTCCCTTCACTTATGTTTATTTCCCAAATAGAAAGGTACTCAGGAATTTCATAATAAGTCCCTTTTCAATATGGCCCAATGTAATTAACTCCTTTTTTTTCCCCCCAGAACTTTAATGTGATACTATTTTGTTATTGATTTGATCAATTTGAACTAGAATTTCTTAACCAGTTTTGTTTGCTGTTCTGAACCTTGTATTTGCTGAGCCCTGTCAAAGATCTTGTTTACTCCAACTTTCTGGAATCCATGTTAAATCATGGGAAAATACAACTTGCCGGAATTATATCTAGAGCACATTTCAAGCCCCCATTTTATTGACATTGACAAGCTCCCTTCTCTTAGGGTTTTTGGTGGCAATGTATCACACTGGGACTTGAGTGGCTCTTAGATGGAAGTATCCGGGGAAAGTATGGTTTTTGGAACCTGGGGAAGGGGAGTCAGATAGGTCAGATGACAACAGTTGCAGGGTCATCTACGGCAGAAAGGGGTCCAGGTAAGTAAAATCAGGGTTTGGGATTTCATGCATCAGGACACTAGGCTAGAAACACAGGGTCTGTTTCCTGGCATGCGTTTTTTTCTTTCTTTCTTTTTTTTAACATCTTTACTGGGGTATAATTGCTTTATAATGGTGTGTTAGTTTCTGCTTTATAACAAAGTGAATCAGCTATACATACACATGTATCCCCATATCTCCTCCCTCTTGCATCTCCCTCCCACCTTCCCTATCCCACCCATCTAGGTGGTCACCAAGTTGATCTCCCCGTGCTATGTGGCTGCTTCCCACTAGCTATCTGTTTTACGTTTGGTAGTGTATATATGTCCATGCCACTCTCTCACTTCGTCCCAGCTTCCCCTTCCCCTTCCCCATGTCCTCAAGTCCATTCTCTACGTCTGTGTCTTTATTCCTGTCCTGCCCCTAGGTTTGGCATGCGTTTCTGTGTTCAAAATTTATTCATTCATTCAACAAGTATCTGTTGGGTATCTTCTTTATGTCTGGTGCTCTCCTAGGTTCTGTGGGTACAGTTGTGAATAGGATATAAATCTTGGTCTGAAGAGTTGACAGCCTGGATATAGGATGTGGGTAAGTAGGGATCTGGTCCAGGGTTTTTTTTTTTTTTTTTTTTTTTTTTTTTTTCAGTATGCGGGCCTTTCACTGTTGTGGCCTCTCTTGTTGCGGAGCACAGGCTCTGGACACACAGGCTCAGCGGCCATGGCTCACGGGCCCAGCCGCTCCGCGTCATGTGGGCTCTTCCCAGACCGGGGCACGAACCTGTGTCCCCTGCATCGGCAGGCGGACTCTCAACCACTGCGCCGCCAGGGAAGCCCTGGTCCAGGTTTTATCTTTAAAATATGTGATAAGACCATGAAAGGAAATGAAATTTTAATATATGTGTTGGGCTTTTTGTTACACCACATTGTGCTTGTGCCAGGACATGTAGCTGTAATTCATTCATTTTCTCCGTTGTAGATAGTCCACTATGTGACTCTTCCACTTGGACTAGTCTCCTGTGAGTGGATCTGAACTGCTTCCGGTTTGGGGCTATTGTACATTATGCTGCACAGACCATCTTGTACATGTTTTTTAGAACACAGATTCATAGGGTTTTCCAGGGCATATACCTAGTAGTGGAATGAAATCATTATCTCATAGGATATATACATCTATGACCTTACCAGATGATGCAAAATTGCTTTCCAAAGTTGTTCAAGAGCAGTGAATCTAATAGTTCCTATTCCATATTCTTTCTAATACTTGATATTCTCACTCATAAATTTTGCCAGTCTGGTGAATATGAAGTGATATCTCTTTATGCTCAATGTTCAAGTTACGCATATTACATGGTGGAGTTGGGTCCCAAATCTATGGCTTGTGGCTATAGATTCTCCATGAATAGTTTTCTACCCTGTACCCAGAGTTGAAGCCCCGAGAGCCAAGTTTAGGTTTGCTTACTTGGTTCTTTGTTTTCTGGTACACATTTTCACTGAGTGGATCCTAATCTGACTTTTCACCTATGTGAGTCCTAAACTTGCCTCTTTTCTCCAGAGCAGAAGTAGGGAGCAGCAGTTGCCCCAGATCAGCAGTGAGCCTCATGCATCAATCGGGGTTAGCCAGAGAAGCAGAACCAGTAGGAAGTGGATATTAAGAGGATTATTGCAAGAAATTGGTTTACATGATAGTGGAGGCTGGCTAGGCAAATCCAAAATCAGTGGGCAGGCTGTCAGGAAGGGCAGGCTGCAGCTTTCAGGCACAGGCTGAAGCAGCTGTCCATGGG